ACGCCTGCTGAAAAGGTTTCAAAATCCGGTCCAATTTAAACAGTTATTTACACCCCTGTATTGGACTGGGATCATCTACTTGGTATGTCTGTGTGTAATTGTACAACCAATCTCCTGTTTCAAAGCACACTCACAATCCATAATTCAAAGAAGGGCTCAAAAGTTCAAACGAATTCGATTGAATTTTCGTATTCTAGAAAAGAACAAAATAATGACTAATTATTGTGATTTTCTACTTTGTGCACCATCATGCTGCTCAAGAAGTCTTATAATGGTGACGTTCCTAATTCACTATCACTATGCACTTCCACTTCACTTGTTTTAGATGTATATATGTATCCATACAAAACACTCAACATCATTTTATGACTAGAGAAATCAATTTCTTGGTTTTAACAGTCATAGAGGACATACATATAAGGCAAATGCTTCTGTTGGTAGCATTACAATATTTTACAAACCTAGGTATTCTGATACAATCGTCAAAGTAGAAACCGAAAAGCATAAAAATAACCAATCCATGCAAACCTGCACAAATATATATAATATAATGTATTCGCCTACACCTTGTCGCCCAAAAGAAAACTGTACTAACACACACGATGTTGATGTCGTATTGGCCATGTTTATGTGACATGTTTAAATGGCCTGCAGGCAAGAAAGAGAATATGAAAATGTCAAGTATTGTTTATATTTAGACTGTTTATTGATTTTGTAATGAGCAAGTATAATGGTGTTTGCTTCGGCTGTAAAGACGGAGCTGTTGTTTTTGCAATCTTGAAGAAACTGCTGATTTGGATCCAATGAGAGTGGCACAAGCAACTATGCCACTATCCATGGAGCCGTCTGTGAAGAGAGATGTATAAGTATCATAAATGTTTCTTAATTCATTATAGGTGGGAGATGCACCTGTGTTCTCAGCAATTGCCAAGAAGGAGAAGAAAGTGGGCGGAAATGTTTTCGAGTTTGTTATAAGCAGCAGAAATGAAAGGTTAAATTCGAATTCCATGAGGTGGAGTAGACTTTTTATCATATAGATTAAACACACACAAATGCATTTCATTTATTGGAATTCAGTTTCATTATATATTCCAATGGGAGTTCATCTGTGTCAACGTAAATAGTTCGAAAAGAGCCAAGACAAAGTCTTGATAATGGTTAGAATACAGAAATATAATGTTGCTTTTGCGCTCTCCACCATAGATGATAGATCCATACTCGAGTTTTGAACAGATCAGTACCCTGAACAGCTGGAGGAGTGCCTACAGGAATTTATCTTTCAAATATTTTATATGTGGTCAAAAGGTCAAATGTTGATAGAAAATTAGACCCAGGCCTCTTTAACAATTTTAACAGGTGTAAAATTAATTCCGGGTACTTGTGAGGTTAATATTTCCGGCAATAGTGCATACAATATGTTTTTGATTTTGAAAATTCCGTTACTAAACACCATTTCTTAATTTTATTCATTATAATTTTAAACACAATTACAATTGCCTTTCAATAGTATGCATGTTTTGCCACAACAGGAAACATTTAAATCATCCGCAATTAGCTACCCAAATACTGAATCGTTAAAAACCTTTGATAAACTATTTATCTTATACAGATAAATTACTGCCTTGTGGGACACCCTAATTATCTTGATTGTAATGATCAGACAAGGTGTCCCCTACTTGTACTTGAAATTGCCCGTCATTAAAAAAGTTGGATATAAATTGAAGCAAACGGCTTTGCATTCCAAAATCGAGTAAATCTCTTAAAATACCATGTTTTTAGTGTCATATTCTTTTTCAAATTCGAAAAAGATCGACACTGCAAGTTGTTAATTAATTATGGCATTTTTGACAAATGATTCTCCACAAGGGCAGTGGGGTAGTCTAGAGGTTAAAGCGTTTCCTCGTCACGCCAGAGACCCGGGTTCGATTCTCCATATGGGTGCAATGTGTGAAGCCCATTTTTAGTGTCCACTGCCGTGATATTTCTTGAATATTGCCTAAAGCGGCTTAAAACTAAACTCACTCACTCATTCATTCCAAGCGAACTATATGATGGTACTTCGTTATTTACGGAACCACTTTGTATATCAGAAAATTGTTGGTTTCCATGTACCAAACGAGACGATTATTTATCATGCAATCCATGCAAAGGCGGCTAGTAAGTGAAATTGGTCGATAATTTGGAGGATCGGTATGGTCGCGTCCAGGTTTAGGAATGGGAATAATTACAGTATCAGGCTATGGAGAAGGACATTTTCCAGATGTCCACATTCACATTTGATCAGTCTCTGAACATGAATCTGGTAAATGCTTCAGGATTTGATGCTGTATATCATCAGCTCCTGTAGCAGTATCGTGAGCTTGTTCAAGAGCAGTATGGAGCTCATGAATAGAACATATTTCATTGTAATCTGTTTTGTTTTGGGTTTTTTAATTTTAGAATTTAGGTACTTAATTAGATGAGGAGGAATGTTTCGCCAAAGTTTCATTAAGTATATTAGCAATATGATATCTATTAGTTGATAACTGGTTTTAACATAGTGAATGGTAGATTTTGATTACCTTTAAAATATTTTTAATCATTTTCCATACTTTACAAATTGGCGTGCGCGAATTAAATTTGGATACATAATTTTGCCAAGATTGGAGGTTACTTTGGTTAAATGTTTGCCGTGCATTAGCATTTGAAAATAGAGTGTTCAGCCTGTTGAAGAGTTGATGAAGGTGGAATGTTTAATAAACACAGAGTAAGTGTAATGTTCAAGATATTCGCACTGCAACTGCTTGGAGATTTGTTTTGAGTGTTACGGGGCCATGAATAACATCATGCCTTAACAGGATCACCCGTTGGAGAAAAATATTGATGTGCATAATACTGACGTAAGAAACTATTTCTATTGAGGGAATATTAGGGATCTACACCATGCTTTCCTTGCTGGCGACAAGCCGTGTGCCCTAATTTGGCCAAGAGCAGCTGGCGCATTTTTAATGTTGTTATTGCAATGCTCAGTTACATGTGTTTTCCCACTGCAAAGAGCACATGTTACATAATCTGTACAGGTATTGACACCTTGGCCGTACGTTTGGCCGTACGTTTGACCTTTGAGACATCTCAATGGATTGGGATCATAAGTATCAACACTGATATTGCAATATCCTCCTCTAACAGACTTTTCAAAATTGTTAATACTGCCAGCAAAATAGCCGGAGTGTCTTTCGAGTATATTGACTTTGTCTATAAACGCCAGATTGCCAAAAAGGCAACTAAAATTAGAATTGATAATTCCCATATTTTATCTCACCATTTTGAACTACTTCTGGACACCGCTTTCGATTTCCTTTCCTCAATACAAACAGAGCCCCCCAGTCTTTCATACCATCCAGTATTTCTGAATGGAACAGGTGTTTTGAATCATCATCATGTGATAACTACTAGAATTAGTCAGACTCTGTACATATGTGGTTAATTGTACTGAATCATGTCAGTTTTATTGGGAATATGTGTGTAACTAGCATTCATTTTATGCATGTAATTATTGTGTATATTTTTGTGAATTGTCTATATATTCATTTTGAGACCGTTTTGATGTACAAAGAATTTCCTCCTGGGTAATAAAGATATTTCTTATCTTATCTTAGCTGATCTTGGCGTGTTTGGGGAAGAAAAATGAAAGAGATAAGTGTTAGCGGATTTTTTGTCAGGGTTTATTTTGGTAGTAAATCTTTAACAAGTCACTCCTTGTTCTTTCATTTCTGACACGATGTCAACTTCAGTCATATCAGCAAAGAATCGATCTCGGAATCTGACAATTCCTTTGCTTGTTTTCAGAATCCTGTGTTGAGAAACCGAATCTCGAACTCCAACAAACAGCTCAGTGGACTTCAGGTTGTTTGATTGCTGTTTTCTGAGCCTGCATGCAACCGTTTGATGTTTCCTACGTCACCTGCGTCACCTGCGATACCATGGATACCTTTTGATACGGTTTAATTTTACAGGTGACTTGTCAAGAGTCTCGATAACGAGAAATCGTGGCCAATATTCGATTGAGTTGGAAGGTCGTTGGTCATCATCATCATTGTCAAGCTGACGTTTGTTTCTTGTAAGGTGGGTTTTGTAATCCATTAGCATTGAGATTCCCCTGAATAACGACCAAAAGTTTCGTAATCCATAGTTAGTTTCAAATCGTTCATCATCCGAGCTCCATACCCACCACAGAGTTTTCGCTGAAATGATCAATACCCTTAACAGGATTATTTATAGACATCAAATTTGTGCAATATGAAATGGAATGCACAGGGTATGACCACACCAGCCGATTGATTGATAGAACTGGGTATCACCCGCCTAGGTGAAGCAAGGATTGAAGTGGTCTATTGGCCAAGGAACGCTGTTCTTGGAACCAGTGGGCTCAAACCACCAGATTCCCGTCCTCCGCCGACACAGGGGCGCAACCTACGGCAAACAGGTTGCCCAATTCGGTCGCCCTTTACTATTAGCGTTACCCTGTACTCACAACGAGGAGGTTGCTGTTAGTGAACGCCTGAACATGACGGTATAGTGAAAGAGAGCAGAGTGTTGATACCAGTGCGCATATTAAATGCCAAGACAGATGCCTGTGATAGTATGAATGGTCAGGAAATGCTGCACTGATTGGGCATGCTAAGTATGTGACTTAGTTAGATATTTTGAAAGGTTATTGAGACACGCCTTTATCACCCAGAGAAAACAAAATATAAAAACAAAACAAAACAAAATAGCAGTGCGCATATTATATGCCAAGACAGATGCCTGTAATAGTACGAATGGTCAGGAAATGCTGCGTTGCTTGAGATAAAAAAAAAAAAAAAAAAAAAATACCAGTCTGAGGCCATTGTCCTGCCTTTCGGTCTAGAGGCAACAGTTGGTCAACAAAGTCATCTCTGATGTGGAAGACTGTTACGGATACATCGACATCATCATCCTTGCAACTGATTCATTGAGAGAATGTATGTGGCCAAGTTATTTTCAAAGTGTACGAACATAGATCACCACCAGTGACAGCCTTGCGGGAAGCTGGCAGAGAGCAGAATTATGGTGACATGTATTTTTCGAACGATGCAACGGGACATGATGGAGTATGAGTGGCATAAATTTGGTGTTTCGACAGACCGTTATCGTGCAAATTTCCCAATCTAAACGGAAACAAATATACCATTTACCAGGTAGGCAAATGTTTACTAACGTTTTGCTGCAAACTTTGTATAGATAATGATGTATTTTCACAAGCTTAAGGCTTTCTGAATTATAAGTTAAATTGTTTATGTTTGGGGCTGTGCATTAATATTGTAGCTGAGTGATAGTGATAGTGAGGTTCCCTAATAATTGTGGAGGAACATTATATAATTGTATTTTTTTACGAGTTTATTTAAATGTTTTATAAGCATTTTTATCACGTCTGTTGTGTTGATATTAGCCATGTTGGTGGTCAAGCTGAAGCAGTGCAGCAGTGTTGTATATGTGCGCAGTGAAGCGGTTGTGAAATCAGACGCATTTTCAATCCAAATTAATAGCGTCTCTCTTTATTGATTGACCAATCAAATTCGAGTATTTCACGTAGCCATGGTAGAATACTTGTTGAAAGCATTGGTGGTGTGACAAACTGCCAAATCATGAGTTATTTCCTTTGCTGCACCATTAACACCTGTCGAGTCGTATGTCGTAAATAGCAAGAAAGTCGTCCATTTTGTTTTTATGACGTTATACCTATGGTGACCGAATCGATTTTGACAGTGAGTTTTGAACCCTTAAGCCCCACTCCCCTTTTAAATGAGTCTCCTTTCGGCCTAGGTGTATGTGACCTTTAGGTTGACCTTATTGGTCTGTGATTATTATGCAATTATGTTATGAATAAGGGTGGTATGAGTTTGATTTGCTGACTCGAGTGTTGGGTTCACACAGCAAAATGTTGTTTATATCAACGCAAAATTAATATTACACTGTGAATATTAGGTGAATTCAGATGCTAAAAATGCTATTTATTAGATCAAAAGCCAGTTTTGTTCGATGTGAAATATCACAGCGCATTTTGGTAAATCAAACCTTTGCAGATTTCATTCTTAACCACTCGTGATTTAGTAAAAGGAACAACTCACAAGTGGGCTGCTTCCGGTATGTAGGGAGCGAAGTGTCGGACTGGAATTAAAGACATATAATCATCAATGTACACCTGGTTTGCCGAAACTAAGCAGGCTCAGTTCTCCATTCAGGCTAACAGCAGATCTGTTTAAAACTGTGATAAATATCAAACAAAGCCACTGGACAGTTCATAAAGTAAATCAAATGTCATCAAATGCCAAGTGTCCTGTTGGAGGTGGGGAACTGCATTCGGAATCTAAAAGAACTAAACACGCAGTTTAAGAGTTACATGGTTTGTTTTTAACTAAATATTTTGTAAATGCATTACAAAGCGTGTGCCTTGTCCTTTTTTACGTGATTCCCATTGGGTATTGTGGAATCGAAACTAAATGCTAATTTGGGATTCTCCTGACCTCAAGCCTAGTGGTTAAAGCGTTGGCTCGTCACGCCGAAGACCCGGGTTCGATTCCCCACATGAGCACAATGTGTTAAGCCCATTTCTGGTGTCCCCCGCCGTGATATTGCTGGAATATTGCTAAAAGCGGCGTAAAACTAAACTCAGTCAGTCAGTCTCCTGACCTCAAGCCAGAGCACCAATTTGCATCAATGTCTGAAAATACTACCACGACAATATACAAGAAACTCCATATGTAGAATGTCTGGTTTGTCAATGTGTAAATATGTCACCATCGGTAGAATATGCAGGTGTTTTAATCATTCCGATAATATGAAAATACATAAAAGAAATCGATGGTTGACATGGAAAAAGTTGCAGACATTTCAACAAATTAGAGCCTCACAGGTTCTTATTCCAAACAATCATTCACAATATCACCAATGAAAAAATGCTATGTTATGAGAACATTTGGTTCTGAGTATATATGGAAATATGTAAAATTGCATAGTGAACTGGCCTAGTTGATCCATTCAGTCCATTCTTGCGCGGAAATGCGCTGTTTGGCGTGTGCATTACGACGTGAAGCACCACGTCTTCGCATCGCCACACCCACTATCACTTTATATATATTTGTTTTCATTTATATATCTTACATGCTACTTTTAAGCGTATTTTTTTTATTGTCTTGAATTTTACTGTTCTTTATTGAAAAGACTTATAATAGCTTAAGTTTATTTGTATTAATTTAGTGCTTTCATAGACACAACATGGCAGAAATACTGCCTATGTGACTTTACATATAACTCACCCGTGAAGATCCGGGTCAGAATTGCTCTTCAGTAACCCATCCTTGTTGTAAGAAGCGACTAACGGGGTCGGATGGTCAGGCTCGCTGACTTGTCTGAGACACATGTCATCGTATCCCAATTGCGTGGAACGGCGATCATGCTGTTGATCACTGGATTGTCAGGTCCAGACTTAATTATTTACAGACCGCCGGCATATAGCTAGAATACTGCTGAGTGTAAAACAACATACCAATATCCATGATTCATCGATGATTCATGTCTGGCACTTCTGCAATTCACCTGATGCTGTTCACAAGTCTGGCAGGCTCGCTGGCTTGGTTGACACATGTCATCGTATCCCAGTTGCGTAGATCGATGGCCATGGCGTTCAACGCTGGATTGTCTGGTCCAGACTCGATTATTTACAGACCGCCGCCATATAGCTGGAATATTGCTGAGTGCGGCGTTAAACAACAAACCAACGGCCATTCACCGATGACTCATGTCTGGCACTTCTGCATAACCCCTGATGCTGCTCACACCTGATACTGTCCACACCTGATGCTGCTCACACCTGATGCTGTCCACACCTGATGCTGCTCACACCTGATGCTGCTCACACCTGATGCTGTCCACACCTGATGCTGTCCACACCTGATGCTGTCCACACCTGATGCTGTCCACACCTGATGCTGCTCACACCTGATGCTGCCCTAACCTGTTGCTGACCACACCTGATGCTGTCCACACCTGATGCTGCTCACACCTGATGCTGTCCACATCTGATGCTGCCCTAACCTGTTGCTGACCACACCTGATGCTACTCACACCTTGCAAACCTTTCCGGCCTAGTGAGATTTCAAAACCTGAAACCCACACATGGACTATGATATTGGGGAACTCTATCATTTGAACATACACCCACAATCAGGTGATAAAAGAATTATTTTATGATTGTCTTGAATTATTATTGTACTATATTGACAAATATTTATGATAGTATAAGTCTATTTGTATTAATATAGATGTTAGTAATAGAACAGCATTCCCCTCTCCCCGAAAAGAATGACCCTGAGGGAGTTTCAATTGATGGATGGACAAAATAGAATCCGTTAATATATTTTTACGCATATTATATGCTGGATGTAGGTGTCGTACAAGCTGTAACTGGAGATAATATTTTAACCTATCAGATGTACTTATGTTATTGAAAATTACCTGTATATTACATTCAAGTATGCGTTGCTTAAAAAACATTAAAGACATATCCACATTACCAATATCTTGGTGTGAGCAGCATCAGGTGTGAGCAGCATCAGGTGACATGCAGAAGTGCCAGACATGAACTATCGATGAATGGAAAGTTTTAGATATTGATAAAACGCCTCTGAAAATAAATCCATTTGCAGTTTCTAAATGCATTAATGGCATTGAAGAAGACGTGAAAAACATTAAACGGTTGCGTTCAGGTGCTTTGTTTATCGAAAGCAGCAACTACCCAGCAACGATCCAATATCCTTTCACCGCCGTGATATTGCTGGAATATTGCTAAAAGCGGCGTAAAACTAAACTCAGTCAGTCAGTCAGCCAATATCTTTTCCACTGAATCATTTGTTGGTATACCCGTTTCAGTTTCTGCACACCGAACTCTTAACACCAGCAAAGGTATTGTAACAAATCAGGATCAATTGTTCGCTGACATGACAGAACTGGATATAGTCTCAGAAATGAAAGACCAAGGTGTCAGCTTTGTAAAACGATTTACCACCCGTAAAACCCCACAAATCCATCACACAAGCACCGACCTCTTCTCGTTTTTGTCTCCAAATGCTCCTCGATCAATAAAGGCAGGTAACTGCAATATCAGGGTTGAACTGACCGAAACATATGTGTCAATCACTATCTGATACAACCCCAAAACAGTCCAAAGTCATAACTACAGCAACAGACTTGACTTGGGTGAAAACTAATACTCCTGAGATGTTTTTACCAGAACAATCCACTGAAACTACAGTCATAATTTCATCCCAAATCCACTCTGAGTGTTTGGGTAATCGTGACACATCTACACCTCAGGACAAATCACCATCTCAATCAACTGCAAATGTCAAACAGGTCGTTAAAAGCAAACCAAAACCAAGGCCAGATTCAACTAAAAAAACTTCAAAGTGGCAGAGTATCAAAGGGATCAGAAAATCAAGTTCAACTCCAATGGTTCATTGGAGTACATGGAAATGTCCGAACACACCCATCCAAGGGCACATAGCTTGTCGCCCACTAAAAATATGCCCACTAAAAATCAATCCACCTACAAGATAGTTTATTCCAAACATATAGTACAGTGGAATTGTAGAGGATTAAGGATCGATATTAATGAATTACAGCTATTAGTCCAAGATTTTATACCATCAGCTTTCTGTCTGCAGGAAACCTATCAGAAGCAGACAGATACTTTTAATTTACGTCAGTCCGATGTATATAATTATTTTGCTCGTCCGGGTGACAGGGCCACTGGAGGATCTTCAATACATGTTAAGCAGCATGTTATCCATAGTCCTGTCACACTTAAACTAATCTCCAAGCCGTTGCAGTGAGATTCTCCCTTCACGTTTCCTTTGCATTATGCTCTCTGAATATTCTGCTTTCTTCAATACTCCAGCAGTCTGATCTTCAAGCTCTCTATGACCAACTCCGAAACCCTATCTTATAATGGATGACCTCGACGGTCACAACCCCCTCTGGGGTAGTACCAACACTAATACTAAAGGTAAAATACAAGAAGATTTCATTTCCAATAATGACTTGTGTATATACCATAGCGATTCAAGCACCTATTTGCATCCTGCAACTGGCACTTACTCTTCTCTAGATTTGTCTCTTGCAGAGACTAACCTCCTCCATGAATTTGATTGGTCTTTTCACAGTGACCTTTGTGGAAGTGATAACTTCCCAACTATCCTTTCAGAAATAACTCCATCTGATTCTCCATCGTATACAAGATGGAATTTTTCGAAGTCTAACTGGGGCTTATATCAAACTATATGTAAATCAAAACTGTGACCTGAATGTTTCAGTGATATAACTGATCCCATTTAAACGTTTGCTGATGTTATAAAATACATTGCTGATGGATGTATACCAATATGTGTACGAATATATTGTTTAATACAGAATGTAGACACGCCAGAAAAGCAAGGCGCAGCATTATTTCCACAACCATCCAACTGTCCATAACTTAAATAATTTAAACTACTCAATGCAAAGGCATCTCGTACCTTCAAACAAAACAAACGCCAATCTTGGAGGAACTATGTCTCCAAAATTAATTCACGCAAGCCAGTGTCCAAATTATGGAACGTGGTTCAAAGAATTAAAGGCAAAGGTTCAAAATCTGCTGTTCACCATCTTAAAGATGACACTTATCATTAAATGGCATACACCGATCAAAGGAATGAGAGGGAAGCTAAATTCCTTGGTCTCATTTTTGAGTCGCATTTAACCTTTCTGTCGTATATCAAATATCTAAAAGCCAAATACCTGAAAGTACTCGACTTTTTGAAAGTCGTTTCCAATTCTAAGTGGAGAGGGGACCAAACCACCCTCCTTCATTTATATAGATCACTGGTCCGATCAAAACTTGATTACGGCTCCATTGTATCTGGTGGGGCCTGTAGAAGCAAACTCGAACTACTTGATTCTGTTCACCACCAAGGTCTAAGACTTTGTCTTGGGTCTTTTTAGAACCTCTCCAATTGACAGTCTCTCCATCGAGGCTGATTAGCCATCTTCAAAACTTCGCCGTATCAGATTATCTTTGCAATATATCACAAAACTATATTCCAATCAACCCTATCCTGCACACAACTGTGTTTTTCATCCTCTTAATGAGAATCAGTACAACAAACATTCTTCACATTAATCCACCTCTTGGGCTAAAAATGAAACCATTCATTTCTGTAGCCGGCATTGAACTGGAAAATATTTATCCTTCCCGTCTTCTTTGTTTTCCCCCCTTGGCAATCGGTTAGGCCACAAGTCTCCTTAACATTAACTACATTTAAAAAATCATAATATTACAATAAACAAGAATTTAATCAATTAAAGAATAATATAATACATACAAATTCGCATTTACATATGGGTCCAAGGATGGTGATGTGCTTCAACCCCTAATAGAATCTGTTTAACAGATCACATAGACTGATCATAATGTGGCAATGACATGTTATATTGTTTGTTTTTGTCTTTGAATCACTGTCACAAAGTGATGATATAAGATGTTCGCGAAAACGTGGTGGTATCCTATTCCCATGGAGGCGCCCTTTAAGTAGAACTTAGAACTTTGAAAACTTCTGCTTATAGCGACCTTTCGATGTAGATTCTTACTCAGTTCTCAAGTTGAAGTGATTACAACCTAGTTAGGATATATGTATGAGTATGTATCCATACGTGTACTCATAGGATAATAATCATAAGGTAGCTTTTGCTTAAAATGGAATGTCATGCACTGAATCAGTGTTCGTCAAAGTTTGTGACGGTGGGTTTATTAGAGCCTCCGATAGTTTTTAAAAGTTTTCTTATGTTTGGTTGAGCGAGTATGGATTCAGTCAAACTGAATCTGATGGCTGGTGGGTTGATGGGGGGCTGATGGTCTTGCTGTCTTGACTGTAGAAGTTTTATCTTCTGAGATGTTGAAATCTGTCACTAGGCGGTAGATTTAACCGACTGACCAACAAAGGTGAACGGATTCACTTCATACGTACACTATGTGTTAGCTGGGACACCACAGTCACAATCATACTGATCACTACATCTCTGTTAGAGGATGGGTTGCTGCTATTAACCTGTCCTGATGTCATATGCAACAGCAGTCATAATTTCAAACGTGGGTCTAATTTCATGAAATTTCATAAACATTTCCAATTAGTTGATTGGCTGTAATTAGATACTCAGCACTTACGATGAATCATGATAGTTTTGTATGTCCAGGCCACTCTGAAGGTCAGTCGATTATTTAGTGACTTCAACAATATGTCATTCGGAGGGTACAATGAGTTAGGTAAGGATGCGTCATACTGGTCACAACATCGATTACTAAAACAAGTAATACTGGGTTAGGTTGAATGTATAGGTGTCTGGTGTCTGTGTCAACTACTTATAACTAAAATAATCCGGGTTAGAATCGGTCTTCAGCAACCCATGTTTGTCGTTAGAGGGGAATGACGGGATCGGGTGGTCAGGCTTGCCTTGGTTGACACATGTCATAGTGTACCAACTGCGTGGATCGATGCTCATTATATCAATCACTGGACTGTCTGGTCCAGATTCAGTTATTTACAGACCTCCGTCATGCAGCGGAAAGTTGCTCAGTGAAGTGTCAAACAACAATCAACAAAAGTGTCACGTGACCTCCCAAACCTCCAGTTTACATTATATCTTGGTTTGCTATGTCGGGTCCTATTTTCAGAAGAATATCGATTACCACCGATGAACTTCAAGGTCACAGCAATCATCACTGCCATATTTCAAAACTGCCATATTTGTAATTTTGATTTCGTATTAATGTAATGTGAAACTATTTTCAGTGATTAGCCTTGAATCGATACAGGATAACTTGCAATGTCACACCGAAAGACTTCAATATACTTTTGAACTCTTTGCACAGTGCTATGTTTGTAATTGCCGAATTGATGGCAAAGGTCACAAGGCCAGATGCCTTTGTAGGCATTGAATGTTAGCTTTCAAGATGTACTACATGAAGTATTTTTCCCAGACCCGAAAAATGTGTTTCTAATAGAAGCAAGGAACCTAGATAGTAGTAGTTAGCAGCATCAAAGTTATATTGCTTGTTTGTAATGCATAGAGATTACTAGCAAGCAAAATGATCATAGATATCTGTCATATCAGAATAACTTTGTTGTGCATGTTTCATAACAAATCATTCGCGCATTTGTGTTTTGCTGCAACAGAAAGATATGTAATTCCTTAATCACCCAACAATATTGTTTGCATTTGGACAGTAATTGGTGTGTTTCTTATTTTGATGATCTATAGATACGAGATCCCCAGTTTTCAACCTATTGCATAAATCGCCAAGGGGATTGCATTTATTGATAGCTCTATCAAATACATATAAGAAAATGTTTACCTTGAAAACCATAAAACAAACCTGATATATATCGTGGTCGAGAAAACCTCAAAAAAAGGTGGGGGTGGGGGTGGGGTTGTTGTATTTTTTGTAGTATATCGATGTAAATGCATTCCTGTGTTTTTGCAGTGTGAGTTTCTTTTTTGGCTTTATATATAATCTGGAACACTATGAAAACGCAATTTAGTTAAGAAACGATTTAACGGAAACTTGAATACAGACAGTTAAGATTCGTTGTGGGATTTTCTTTTGCATGTTTATCAAAAGAGTGCTAACATCTACCTGTTATATGACGTTACATTTGATAACAGAATGATTATTAACATACAGTTTACATTGTTTGCCATACATTTAACTAAAAAGCATTAATATCGAGTGAAATTGTATTTTCAAAGGTTTTAGATATTTCCACTCTTTGCATTGTTTGATTTATCTTAATGTTTACCATATCTTTACAATTTCTTAGTAGAATAGATATTAGTTCTGTTTTACAGTGGTTACTCTTCACTTTTCTTTCGTTTTCCAAGTAACAAGATGGCTGTTTCTGAAAGAGTAGAGTCCCCAAACATGATGGGTGGAATATTATAGTCAAAGATCGTAATGAGAAGTGCCAGTTGTATACTGTGAGATTTCCTCGATCATTTTATGGCCAGGATCTATCAAACGAATCTGCATTAGGTATCCAATTTCGAAGCCAACGTTTTTGAAACTCCAAGCATAAAAGGATATCGGAACTTTCAAGATTTAAGTGAGACTCCAACATATATCAAAACACCGAAAATGTTTTCATTTAAAACTGGATTGAAATTAGTCTGTTTCGGAGGAATGAAATAACACGGGATGATTCATGACAAAATAACGATAAAGATACAATATAATTGCAGCTGATTCAGTGTTTGCTTTATGTTTTCTTTTCAGTTTCCTTTTCATTTGTTTATTCAAGGATAATTTAACTCAGACTTAATGTATTAAGGTGTTTGTCTTCACCAATGCTTTGTAACAGCTTGTAGAAAAATCTTTTGAAACAAAGACGACTTTACTCACATCAAGTGTTCTATGTTAAGAATGAAATTCCTGTTCACTTTGTGTGTGTGTGTGTGTGTGTGTGTGTGTGTGTGTGTGTGTGTGTGTGTGTGTGTGTGTGTGTGTGTGGCTGACGTAAGAGCTAATTTCTTATGCTTCCTTTCTGATTTAGAATGAAAACAATAGCCATGGATATGTATTTTTAATCACGCGATGTAGATGAAAACCACTGTACTAGGTTCGATGTACAGAGTGTACTTGCGTCGCACACCGGGTTAAACGTTTCACTTTGGTTGTCCTTTCGCACTGTATTATGTTTGTCTGTATAGGAAGATGGAGGATGGAGAGACGTTAAGATATGTGCTCGCGAATAAGACTGCACCTGGTACTGTGGTGAGGAGGGGCTGAAAGATGACGTGTAGATGTGGGACTGGTCCTTCACATATAAGGCTGCATCTGGTACTAGGGTCTTGTGTGGAGGAGGCTGAAGGATGGATATTTGTGAAGATGTGGAACTGTTTCTTCACATAAGGCTGCATCTGGTGCTAGGGTCCTGTGTAGAGGAGGCTGAAGGATGGATATTTGTGAAGATGTGGAACTGTTTCTTCACATAAGGCTGCATCTGGTGCTAGGGTCCTGTGTAGAGGAGGCTGAAGGATGGATATTTGTGAAGATGTGGAACTGTTTCTTCACATAAGGCTGCATCTGGTGCTAGGGTCCTGTGTAGAGGAGGCTGAAGGATGGATATTTGTGAAGATGTGGAACTGTTTCTTCACATAAGGCTGCATCTGGTGCTAGGGTCCTGTGTAGAGGAGGCTGAAGGATGGATATTTGTGAAGATTTGGAACTGTTTCTTCACATAAGGCTGCATCTGGTGCTAGGGTCCTGTGTGGAGGAGCCTGAAGGATGGATATTTGTGAAGATGTGGAACTGTTTCTTCACATAAGGCTGCATCTGGTGCTAGGGTCCTGTGTAGAGGAGGCTGATGGATAGGATAGATAATTTGTGAAGATGTGGAACTGTTTCTTCACATAAGGCTGCATCTGGTGTTAGGGTCCTGTGTAGAGGAGGCTGAAGGATGGGTATTTGTCAAGACTTGGAACTGTTCCCTCACACATGGCTGCATCTGGTGTTAGGGTCCTGTGTAGAGGAGGCTGAAGGATGGATATTTGTCAAGATGTACCCGTTCCCTCACATAAGACTGCATCTGGTGCTAAGGTCCTGTGTAGAGGAGGTTGAAGGGTGGAAAGACGTGTAGATTTGACACTGTTCCCTTAGAAGCCTCTCATAATCGTGCAGGGACAACATATCTTCGTTGTTGATGGCCGCATAAGGAGACTCAGTTGCGTCACTTGGTAGTCTATCTCCTACCACAGTTAGGTATGTACCGCATTTGCTGAGACAACAAACACAACATAAATGGTTACATAAAAACACATTTAACGAATTCCATATGCATCACAAGGTTGCTCCAGATGACAAATAGTGACTACAATGTATTTCATACATTTTGTCAAATACGATGGATATCTCATCGAATGAAGACAGAAAGCCATATCTTCACGAGTTCACTTCAGCTTTGACAAACATCCTGAAACCGTCTCTTTATTACATAAACAACATGAAAAAGTCTATTTGTTATATTTATTTATATCTATATTATATTTATTATAGTTTCATGCCAGAATTGCCCCCGTTACAAAAGTTGTCAGCTGATTCGTATTCTCTATCACTACAGTTATCATCGATATTCCGTGTTTGGAAGAACAAGAATGTTACAAACATCATTTAAAGTTCTTTTGTGTTGCGTCAAAGAGAACGCGCATTAATACATGAAAACAACACCACTGCAATCACGGCAAGGATCAGTGGCCTCCTTCGTGGGAAGACCCCGTTTGTTGAGCGAAATCAAACACTACGCTACAGACAGCAGGATGTCGGTGTTTTGTACCATGAAAGGTATGATCTCTCAGCAGCATTAAAAGAGTTATCCAGTAATTAGTATAACACCTCTCACCCTCCAAAATTCTAGTTGACATGGAACTGGCCGCAGAATGTATCAGGTTACCCCACAGTTGACACAGTGCCAACATGTTCATAGACACACTCGTAACTGCATCAGTATTAAGTACATGTTCTAATCTAGGGTGACAAGCACTGTCAAGATATGCAGTATGGGTGGTAAGGCCGGTGTATCATGTTAGTGATATTACCTGCTTTGGATGCTATTATTACATTTGGCCTTGGAGTATACCCGTGTTTTGACATCTTCGCTCCCTGCTCGCATGACTGACGGATTGAGAAATTGCCAGGAGACTATCCAAGGGAGGCAACTTCCAAAGGCGATAGTTCTGGACGAAGGTAGTTCTGTCATCCCAGGTCCATAAAACACTGGTTTATTAAATTTTCACAGTGGTGAAAACGATTTTTATTTTGATGACGGTGAAATATGACTTTTGATGAAGACACCATGTCAGTCAGGTTTCAATGATTGACATATTACGCCATGTGCTGCAAGGTCATTAACCTATGGACATCTACATATCCGCTGACGTAAGGAGGTGTTAATTGACAGTTACAGATAGCATTCTGAGAATTAAGGGTCCTGACCTGACGGAGTTTTAGGAAGAGAAAGGGATACGCTGAATGTTTGCTGGATGCTGGAATCGCGTAAAAGAGATTGGATTCCAATGCACTTTGACATATCGTGAAACAATTAGGTCTTTTGAATAAATTATGTTTTAAAGAAAATCATTGAAATGGTTTTCATTATAACAATTATATACATACCTCACGTTATGACCATCTGTAATTAAACATTATCAATTAGCAAACTATCAACTCAAAAGATATATCAAAATATATATAAATGTGATATTTCTAAAACAAAACTATACTTTGTAGTGGTATAATTGTTTAAGTTAATGATAACACTACATGACGAGTTACAAGCAATGAATTTCCACAACACCAATCAGTTTGATTTCACCGATATGTGTGACATACCACTCCTGACAGATTAACTGTTTGATGAATCTCGTCAACTATTTAAATGGTCTAAGTTATTTGTAGGCGGTGGAGTTAGCTAGTGGTTAAAGCGTTCCCTCGTCACGTCGAAGACCCGGGTTCAATTCCCATCATGGGTGAAATGTGGGAAGCCCATTTCTGCTGAAGCTGGAATATTGCTAAAAGCGGCGTAAACTACACTCACTCACCCTTAGTTATTTGTTCACTCTCGTGTGTAAAATACGCATAATCTCGGGACTCGCACGTAAAATCTCAAAATCATCATCACAAGATCAGTCTGACCGAAACCGCCAACTTCTTTGTTCATATTTGTGAGTGCATGTTCATTATGTTTTCCGTTGTTGTTCATCTGACTACATATGGAACATCACTTGCCACACAGTCAGGTTTTATAAGTACAACTTCAATGAAGAAGCTATCAGTACATACGTCCTGCATCCTTGAAGACAAGGACGGCAACAGCTGCTACTACAACTGAGACAGCAGTGAGGAGGATGGAGTAAGCTGCAACAACAGGGACGATGTCGTCGACGTTGGCAAGTGGTACTGGAGACAAATATACTCTGTTAATGAAGATGATTAGTTGGTTACTGTTTAACGCCACACTCAGCAATATTCCAGCTATATATTGGTGGTCTGTAAATAATCAAGTCTGGACCAGACAATCCAGTGATCTATTCAATTGGGATATGATGACATATGTCAAATAAATCAGCAAGCCTGAGCACCGATACCTTTAGTCGCCTCTTACGACAAGCATGGGTTCCTGAAGACCACTTATAACCCGGATCTTATGTGGGTTATTAACTATGAGAAATGCATCTGTACATGTACAAGTACGTTTTGCTATTGTGAGAACAGTATTAAGAGAGTTCTTGAAGGGTGCAAGACGAGCTTCAGTTTCGTAGGTTTGCAGTCAGCACAGATTTAAAGGCTTTTTTTTGACCAACTCGAAAGGTAATTTATTATTTATACGCAATGACCATACTACATTTATGTAGTGTTTGGTTATCATTTCCTTATTGCCACATGACAACTCACCGTCTATTTCCTCATAGCTCCCATCTGTTTCCGCCTCACGGATATTAACCACCACGCTGAAATTCAGACTTTAGAATTAATTTTAGTTCAGGTTATTGGTGGGGAAACATTTCCTGTATCGTGATGTACGATGTGAATGTGAAACTAAAGGACATAGGCAACTATGACTATATCTGAGTATCTGCCATTTGTAATTACTAGTCCCTTCCCGTAACCATGTCAGGGAGAAATATTCCCCCAGCCCATCAGAATGCGCGTATGGAGAGAAGAAATTGGGACAGAATAGTTAGTTGAAATAATTTTTTTCCCAGACAATTCAATTATATTTTATTTATTGCACAGTCCCCCTGGTTTTCCTGAATTTTCACAACCAGGATATATTAACATTATGGCGTAGGAAAGTATTTAAGCATGTTTAACACACCCTTTGAGGTAATTTCCTTGGCGTGGATGCCATGTTTGTTTTCAAAGTAAACTAGAGTTACATGCCCTTGAAAATAGTTCGTCGACTTGACTATTTCTTTCTCTCTGCGCTGTTGCGCTCAGACAGAGTCAAGTTCAGTAAAATGGCTACGAGAGGGGTACGAGTCTTCTCTCGGGTTAGGGAAAGGAACGAGTAGTTACGAATGCAGTATCTGCCAATTAAACAAGAAGCTATACTATAATACACTTAAGAAGGTTCTGTGTGTACTTACTATTTCTTAAAATGTACATGAAAACATTCCCGAATTTCATCCTGATTTTCCACTGATGAGGAAGTGCACTGACAGTGAAACGTTACAGTTACCATTGGTACGAAGTCTAAATCGAACTACAATTATTCGCTAAAAATATATTACATGCCAATAATATGAAACGATAATTACCCAGCAGAAAGTCTTTCTGAAATAGAATAGACAAGAAATCACAGACGAAGAAACGTATGAGAATAACAAGTAAGTGTTGAAAGACTATGAACAGACTATGAATGTTTCAACATTTAGTCATCCTGCTTCCTTTTTCGTGACTTGTCGTATTTACAGCGCGAAATATGAAGACCACCAGCTGTCATGTTTGCAGAAAGAGCATATATTCTGTTCGGAAGTAAAGAGTGTGGTTACTTTTGTTAGTTGTTTAACGCCGGACTCCAGCTATAGTCAAGCTATATGACGGCGGTCTGTAGATAATCGAGTCTGAACCAGACAATCCAGAGATCAACAGCATGAACATCGTTCTACGCAATTGGGATATGATGACATGTGGCAAACAAGTCAGCGAGCCTGACTCACCGATCCCGTTAGTCGCCTCTTACGACAAGCATGGGTTGTTGAAGATCATTTCTAACCCGGATCTTCACAGGCTCACTCAAGTGTGAGGTGTATAAACCTGCACCCATGCAGTTCACGTGGCTCCTTTCTAACTCCTTACATTACATGCATGGTATTGTCGTGATATCAACTGACAGTTAAAGACATGGTTTGTATACTGTTTTCCGCTTTGACCAGAACACATGTTGCTATTCCGTTGTGAAAGCCACCCGTGAAGACCCGGGTTAGAATGGCAACTCATGCTTGTCGTAAGAGGCGACTAACGGGATCCGGTGGTCTGGCTCGCTGACTTGGTTGACACGTGTTAGACACAAATGTTGTCGTATCCCAGTTACGTAGATCGATGCTCATGTTGTTGATCACTGGTTTGTCTGATCCAGACTCGATTACTTACAGACCGCCGCCATATAACAAACAAACCCCCCAACCGTTGTCAAACCAGGAAATATTTCAGTTCAACATAAAGAGAAAGAATAGTTTTTACGATGCACGGATATCAGTTGGTAGTCACGCGCACAACGGGATACTGTACCAAACTCGTATACAGAAACTGAAACATTTTAGTTTCATGAATTTCCAGTTGCCTCATACACTTACGACGGGGTTGAAGTTGAATATGACTTTCATTGTCCTCCATATTTCGTGCACCAGATCTGAAACGTAGAAAACGTTCAATAACAGCTGATTGAGTCCTGATTAATTTATTTTAACTGTACTATCTAAACCACTTAATTGATGAATCATCGCTTTACTTACTGCAGATACAGATGCCATATTACAGACCATTGTAGGAACAGTCAGTATGGTTTTAGGCCGCTTTCAGCAATATTCCAGCAATGGTAAAACAGCAATGGGCTTTACACAAGCTTCATATACCAACAGTGTACGTACCTGTGCTGACGATCTCCTGAAAGGTAAACGAAACCCAATTATGCAGCAAATGTAAATCTTCGACAGCATCAACATCGAAACAACAATATTAGCCATAAAATATTACCATTAAATTTTGAAAAGAATTGAACTGAAATTAACTACAGGATAAATTATAACATATATATTATTCACCTTTCTTCACTCTTTTACAAACACATATCACAGCAACAGCAGTGATGATGATGATCAGGACAGAGGGGACAACGGCTACAGGGACAGCGACACCGACGGTGGAGGGTCTAGGTTCTAAACCATCTAGAAAAAAGATGAACTCAAAAGGAACATTGGCAAGTTGGCTTTTGGATTGCAATGAGCTATGGTTTAGTGCTGCTCCCACTACCACAGCCCAAAGACCTGGTTTAACGGAGCGGTAGCTTAGTGGTTAAAGCGTTCGCTCAGCTTTTTTTCAGCAGGTGTCTTCGTGGGTAAGTTTAGTTTTAGGAAATTGGAAAATGTATGGCATCCCTGGCATCTAATTTAAAGTCTTTTTTGCCTTATGTCGTCAGGATACGTATGGTGACTTTGAATGCATACGTATGAGGACTTTGAATGGATACGTATGGGGACTTTGAATGGATACGTATGGGGGACTTCGAAAGGATACGTATGAGGACTTTGAATGGATACGTATGAGGACTTTGAATGGATGCGTATGGATTGCTACCAACGATACCAGTAAAGGAATAGAACACTATTCCATTCATGGTCATGCATTATAAAGACATCTTTGATACATAGCAAATCCGTTATTAAAGGAATGGTTGACATCCTCAAGAAAGCGTTTTACGAACTCTCAATTAGAATTCTTGAGACTTCTTAAGTTGCTTGTATTGCCAGAGCACCTAGAGTGATGCATTGTGTGTAGTCTGATGTTTCCAGGTTATGTAGCATAATTACAATACAATCTTACGTTGTATATCCGAACCGTGAAGATCCGGTTTAGAATTGATCTTCAGTAACCCATGCTTGTCGTAAGAGGCGACTAACGGGATCGGGTGGTCAGGCTCGCCGACTTGGTTGACATATGTCAACGTATCCCAATTGCGTAGATCGATGCTCATGCTGTTGATTACTGGGTTGTCTGGTCCAGACTCGATCATTTATAGACCGCCGCCATATAGCTGGAATATTGCTGAGTGCGGCGTAAAACTAAACTCACTCACTTACGTTGAATATCCAGCGTCAGGTTCCGTGATGCACTCCCATGGCTGTTGTTGACGTGACACGTGAACAGTCCAGACACAGATACGTCTACAGCTGGTATAGACAACACAGCCTCCCCCTGTCCTGTAATCACCGTCTGTCTGGAGACGTTCCACCAGGTTACAGTACAGGCAGGGTTACAGTCAGTAGAACATCTCACAGCTGCAGGTTTCCCTTCTTCTACCTCCAGCTTGTCACTTGTGTCGTCAAACTGTATCTTGTCAGGTCCATCTGGAATGTATGATGTACCATTGTCAAAATAAGATTACATTGTATCACTAGCTAACAACGGAAAATGTACTACACGGGGTCGCTGATCATACTGATTCTAAACAATACACATTTGTAAAATAAGTGTACATAGCAAGTTGCATCTGTGTGGTATCTGTAATGGGGGTGGGGTGGTGGTGGTGGGGGTTAGTGAAGGGAAACAAATGTTACTTCAGTGGGTCACCTTCTGATTCATCTTGGTTATCGCTAAACAGCAACGTGTCTGGTCCATTTGAAAAGGACAAAGAATGTGATATATTTTTCTGTCATAAAGTATACCTTGTCATTGTTTAGCTATACGATATATAGTAACTGTGATGTTGTCGTCTTCCAAAGGTTAAAATACTCGCCCCGAGCAACATTGCTGGTCATGCGGGACGACTTGATGGACCGTGTGGTTAGATGGTCAAGTCTTCTGATTTGGTTCGTAACCATATTATACTAATGGTTCATTTCTTTGTAAACCGACCATAAAATATCACAGTGTACCCTTTCGTCTTTTTAGTTCTCTACAAGGCTGTGTCATATCTCCTATTTTATAATTAATGGTATTATATATTAATGGTATTTTATATATTAATGGTATCAACAACTCTGATAACTGTTTTATCGTGAACGTTTCAGAATATTGCAGTTTCTCATCCTTTGTCTCGATGGAATGTGTGGAGTGGTATATAAATGTCTGCACACCACCCTACGGACAAACTGTTTACATATCAACATTTGCTAAAAAAAAAATTGTCAATATTTCCCGCATGATAGTAAAATATTTCATTGAAATAGGATGGCAGGCCAGAGTAACATATCATTTGAAAGGATCCAAGATTCTACACCTTCTCTTAGGTTACTTGTTCAAGACAACATTTTCACTTCGCTGACACCAACCATTATTCTTAAAGGGTGGACCAAGTTTTCCAAATTCATAATGTCACAAAACATTTAACTCGTATGAGAGACCTTACTCCTGGATATACATAGTCGAGCTGAAGATACTGAATGTATCTTTGTTATTATTGATATCATTTCCATATTAATGAACCTCAACTCACACAGAACATTGAGAGTGTATCCCTGACTCCAGTCTGACAGAAGTCCTTCTTCTCCAGATTGACACGTGTACACTCCCTTGTCCTCCTTGGTGACGTGGTCTATAGCCAGGAATTGTCCTGCCACGTGTACTCTGTCATCTACACTCCTGTCTACACTCCTGTTGTTTCTCCTCCAAGTGTAGGAAGTGTTCAGAGTGTACTGGTACAGAGACCGGTCCAGAGGAAGACTCCGGGAGGTGGTGGAGCAGGTCAGGTTCACAGGATCACCAGACACAGGGTCTGCAACTGTCGTGCTGATACTCGGTTCTGATGGTTTCTCTGAAAGAATAAGAATGGAACTGTTTGTAACCTTGCCCTAATTCTGATGTATTAAGGAATAACATGCATTAAGATGTATTATACATTCAGTAAATTTCAGTCCCCATATGTCATAATGTCGTTTGAACGGAGTGTATGTTTTGATTTGTTTATGTGTCTGAATATTTAATGCGATTCCTGACCCATTTCTACCCATCCCCAAGAAAGCTAATGTATATTTGAGGACGAATATTGAATTTTCAAATTAATGAAAACATTAAATATTGTTGATCACGTCTGTGATATTGGCGATAAACATCTGTATACGGAGGGAGGTAGGTGATTGGTTACTAAAAGGCAATACATAAAAATATTCTTGCTTCTCGTTACCGCACGACCTGAAAATTCGACTCGACCCTAAGAAATTTACAAATTTTAACACTAGAGAAAATAAATTTGACTCTCAAAATGTGCATCAATTTTCACATTTCTACTTTTCGATTTTCTATCGGAGACAATTTGTAAATTTCCACAGAAATCAAGAGGTTTGGGACATAATATAAAATATAACGTAACCATTTTTTTATGTTTGATAAAGTGATGCGAAACAATAATATTTTTTAGGTGGCCTTATAGAGAGGTTTTGTCGCTTACATTGTACACACAGGCATAAATGCAATGAAATATTGAACTCGATTATAAAACCGTATTTCAGCTCACGTCTATAAGCGCTGTTATGAGCCTAAGTAATAGTTTATGTTTATTGTTTGCCAAACGTGGTTGTCATAACTACGTGTAAGTGACATGGTGGACTGTCTACACATTATTTCAAGTAGATGACTAGTTGACGGAACATTAGTGGCACAGTTTGCCCTTCCCCAGCCATCAAGTGTATTATATCTGGATTCTATAAACATGATAAATGAGGATAAAACTTTATGATAGTGCTCATCGCTATAGTAGTCAGTCCCCGCAACGACATCCGTGTAAAAGTGAGTGAGTGAGTTGGGTTCTACGCCGCTTTTAGCAATATTCCAGCAATATCAAGGCGGGGACATTGTACCCATGTGGTGAATCGAACCTTCGGCGCGTCGAGAGAACGCTATACAACTAGGCTACCCAAACCCCCACTCCGCACCCACCCCTGGTGTAAAAGACATTGAACTAAAATTCTAACACCATAACGGAAGAGGTTTTAAATATCCTCTCCAGGTATGGATTGTTTTCAACTCAGATAATCTGCATGGTTCCGCGATATGTCGATAAATGTGTCTCAATCACAAGTCTTTGATGTGGATTGTCTATTTTTCGAAACTAATCGTGCTCAGATTATCTTTACACTTACGGAGTACAATAAGAAGTTGAGTCTCACGAGACAAGTCACTGCTATGCGTGCCTATGCTGTATACTCCGGCATCCTGCACGTCAACACTGCGGAATGTGAGACTGACCAGGTTCCTTCCTTCCAGGGATGTATTGAGACTCAGCTGAATCCTCGTCCCGTTCTCTGTGTGTGTGTTGATAGTTGCAGGCAGAAGTTGATTTCCCCTCACAATGAACTGGACAGTGGAATCATTTAGCTTGTGTTTCTCCTTATGGTATGTGGTAGAATATATCTTAAAATCCGTAAAGGCCTGGTTGATACTCCAGGACATATTGACGCTTTGTCGGACACGGGCGACAGTGTTGGAATGAGAAGCTGAAATTACACATAAGGACAGTATACAGTTGATTAAGTGAAAGGTACATGCAGAGATGCATGGCCATACCCACAATGCCAGAACAAGATATACCAGACATCCACAGCTTTATATGTAAAAGTGGAATCATTACCATTTCCTGTTATGGTGGTTTACCTTATACTCACGAACTTAAGATAAATAATTGGTATCTTACCCATGGCGAATAGGTGAGTGGGCGAGTTAAGTCACATCGGCAATATTTCAGCTATATCGTGACTAAAAACAAGTTATAATTGGTAGAATAAATCATGATAAACCTGCCAGCAAAGGACAGTAAAAAACACTAGAATATCACAGATACAATTGTAAAACTAGTATGAAAATCTAAAATATCTTAACTATAAAAGACAATACAAAATTAACAAGTGATTGCCACTAATATGGCAATGAAGAAGAATGAAATATTTATAACATATTTACTACTTTTTACTTTTTGGTTGCATAAAAGAAATGACTGGTGTCTGCATAATCACCCAATGTAGGCTGTCGACATAATTGAAGACATTGGGTACAACAGTTCATGAGATATCGCGTTAACAAGAGTTTGTAAAGTGGTCAAAGTGTCGTGGTGACCTTGAAGATAAGGTCAATTTCTCTCTATCTACCTATCTGTCTAAGGTGACCTTGAAGATAAGGTCAAGGTCACCCAAATCAACTGGTGTCTGCGTAATCGCCCAATGTAGGCTGTCACCAAATGTGAAGACATTGGGTACAACACTTCATGAGATATCGCGTTAACAAGAGTTTGAAAAGTGGTCAAAGTGTCGTGGTGACCTTAAAAATAAGGTCAAGGTCACCAAAATCGACTGGCGTCTGCGTAATCCCCCCAATGTAGGCTGTCACCATAAGAATCGGGACGTACGGACGCTGCTGAATACATAGGGCTATAGATCGCCAACAACTGAAGGTACATCAACATACTAGGGACCTTGGGGACTAACAGTACCTTTGCTACCTGCATGGGCCCTAGCTGGATTTACATCATCCCTTCAGCCATTGGCGATTGTAGTCAAAATTAGCCATTCATCAAAATAACACATATTCTACGCTTACAAACACATGGTATGAAAAAAAAACCTTGAATGAAATGGGACTTACATACCCATGGCGAATAACAGTGTGTTAATCATGTCTTCATTCATAACCGAGTGAGGATGATGCGGATGGTGAGTGAGTGAGTGAGTTGAAATTTATAGTCACATCGGCAATATTTCAGCCGACTAACACAAGTCCTTAACTTCATGGATGTATCCTGGAATTCAGTGTCTATAGGATAACATGCTGAGGTTACGTCGACGGAATGACGAAGTGAATGAGTGGGTTTAGTTTTACGCCGCACTCAGCAATATTTCAGCTGTATGGCGGCGGTCTGTAAATAATCGAGTCTGGACCAGACAATCCAGTGATCAACAACATGAGCATCGATCTGCTCAATTGGAAACCGATGACAAGTGTTAACCAAGTCATCGAGCCTGACCAGCCGATCCCGTTAGTCGCCTCTTACGACAAGCATGGGTTAATGAAGATCAATATTCAAACCCGGACCTTCACGGCTGACTGACTGAGTTTGGTTTTTTACGCCGCTTTTAGCAATATTCCAGCAACATCACGGCGGGGGACAACATAAATGGACATCACACACCATTGTGCCCATGTGGGGATTCGTACCCCGGGTCTTCGGCGTGACGAGCCAACGCTTTAACCATTAGGCTACCCCACCGCCCCCGGACCTTCACAGGTCGGAATGATGAAGACATCCAATAACCGCACAGTGTTTAGCAATACGTGTATTATATCGCCTATTTTACACTGTACTAGGGACTTAGTAATACCACGTTCGTTGTTCCTTACGTTCGTGTTTCCGTCGGATATATACACATGGAAAGAACTATCGCAACACCTATGATTGTTAACGTCAAACAACCACAGTTATCATAGTTGCACATTTTTCCTCTACACCTCGCTCCACAAGCGATTTCACTCAGCGGTTATAGAATAATACCAACATTCTCCCAAGTGAAATAAGTCATTTTCAGTCATGTTTGCTTTTCTGAAAATTGTTTATTACGAGAGTGCGACGTCTCGATACAGAATCTTGTACCGTTGTCAGGCAGGAATGTAACATGCAGTGGTTGCAAAGTATATATACTGAGTGTAACGAAAGAAACAAGATAAGTAACACAATTGGCTGGGCATTGAGGTGATGAAGTCAGTGACTCTGCCACCACTGCATGTTAAAGGATTGTGAGTGAGTGAGTTTGATTTAAGTCACGTCGGCAATATTTCAGCCACTTGATAAAGTTATACGTTAATTATAAAAAACTGTCATCGATAGACAGAAAAACAACAAGCAAGATATCACATATTTGTTTTTTTAAAACTAGTTATAGAACATTACAACTGATAATTTGGGACTGGAGGACGCCAGCAACACAGTTGTGAGTGAGTTAAACGTTTACATCGCATCGGCAATATTACAGCCATATAGCGATGCGAAATAGATAATCAATTTGAAAATATTTGTCCACAAAGGACAGTAAAACCAACTAGACTATCACAGATATATATTTAAAACTAGTAATCAAATCTAAAATACTTTACCTATAGAGGACGATACAATATAAAAACAGGCTATAGATCGCCAACAACTGAAGGTAGATCACCATACCAGGGACCAAGGGGACTTACAGTACCTTTGCTACGTGCATGGACCCTAGTTGGATTTACACCATCCCTTCAGCCGCTGGCGATTGTAGGAAATATTTAGCCAAACTTTTAAAGAAGATAGATTAAGGGATTGCAAACGTAGGTCACAATACTTACAAACAAATGGAAACATTCCTCCGTAGCAGATGACTGCTTCAATCCAATACATATAGGTCAACATCAGATACCGGGGTTGACAAACACTGCAACTGTTTAATGTCCGATCTGACTGAATATCATGAAATATGTCCGTGTTAACGTGAATCATCTCTGTTTATGAACAGCTCACACAGGCATATACTTAACCAAGTCAAGCAAACCGACCACGTGAGTCCCAAGAAAAACTAACTGGTTGTTGTAGACCTAATCTTACCAAGAGGCCCCATAGGGTAGCAAAATGGCTGAAGGTCCGATCGTCATGCTGAAGTGAGCGAGTGAGTATGGTTTTACGCCGCTTTTAGCAATATTCCAGCAACATTACGGCGGGGTATACCAGAAATGGGCCTACACATTGTACCCATGTGGGGATTCGATCCCGGGTCTTCGGCGTGACAAGCGGACGCTTTGAACCTCGAGGCTACCCCACCGCCCCTCGTCACGCCGAAGACCCGGGTTCGATTCCCTATACAGGTACAATGTGTGAAATTCCTTTCTGGTGTCCCCCGCTGTGATATTGTTGAAATATTATTAAGAGCGGCATAAAACCTCACTCGCTCACTCACACAAGTAATTACATGCAACGTTCGTCTATTGTTTTGCTGCGTGAGGCTATAAATATTGATTCCTCATGTCATTTGTATCGAGTTCTACCGAGAAGACGTGCCAACTCTTTGCGCGAACACCCGATGTCATTAATGACAGTAAGTGGTTCATCCAGATAATTTTCAATTTGCTCTTTCCACCAATGGAATGTGTCTGAAGACAAGGTTATTCTCTTGCACACATTATTGACATCAAACATGTGTGCTTCATTCATTTCATTCACAGTAGAGGGGACAGCCGAAGTGAGTCATTATGCTGGCATGTACCAAAGTCGAAATTCACCAGGAAAAGGAAACAAAATGACAAAACGTTTTCATTCTGACGGGAAAACCATTTACATAGGGGCATTAACATGGCATGAACGCAGTTTGTATGTGAGATGGAGAGACACTGACGCGAAAGTGGTAGCGGCAAAGGGGAAGAGAAGATGGACTAAACTGAGTCTCATCATTCAATTTTTTTATGTTTCAACTCTGTTAAATATGTTTATACCATGTATACGTTTGCTAAAGGAATATGGAGATCCAATGCAATTGAAAATCTAGGAACCTTCCTCACTCACTCAGTACAGGTGTGGCGTATATTGCCAAGAAATACATCTATTAAATAAAAGACCGATCAGCATTCCTTAAAGGCACAATAACACATTGTCAACAATATGTTCGTCTATATTATAAATATTGGGGCATGTGCACTCACTTTAGCTTCCTATTGATGCAATAAAAGACTTATCCCTAACGACCTGCATGAAATCGATAACTGAAACTTCGAGGCGAACAGCTTCCAAACAGAGAACACTAGCTAAATATGGAATGTAAACAATTGCTCCATACATCAAAAACTGTCGCACGCGGTGCTGTCGGTGACTTCCTAACTCGTTTCAATCACAAGTTCGCGTATGTTTTGCTCATTCGTCAGCACTCGCCCCTTTCCGTAACCTTGCTATTCGGCTTCCCGGAATAACACGAGTTGGTCACGAATGATGTTTTGCTTAGGACTGAGTTCTGTCTCCAAAGGAGTTATATGATATTCGTAAAGAGCGCTCCAAGAGACATAACTCTATGGGGTTCGCTTGAAATGATGTTTTACTGTACACCCGTTAAGATCCGGATTGGAATTGGTCTTCAGTAACCCTTGCTTGTCGTAAGATGCGACCGACGGGATCGGGTGGTCAGGCTCGCTGACTTGGTTGACACATGTCATCCCAATTGCCCTGAGCGATACTGACGATGCTAATCACTGGATTGTCTGTCGACTATTTACAGACTGCCGACATATAGCTGGAATATTGCTCCGTACGGAGTCAAACAACAAACGAACAAAACGCTGTGAGAGTTTAATACAAACTGTCACAGATATTTGATTGTAGAGAAATTGCTTATCTTAACATACAAATTTCAAGGAGAGTTTACACGTAAAATCAATGCCACATTTACTAAGTGTAGCACCACTGGAGGCGTCGAGCTGGTCATCGGAATGGAATGCTTTAAGTTTTCAAAGCTGAAATTGCAACAGATTAATTTCAGTGAGTGAGTTAAAATATAAAGTCACATCGGCAGTATTTCAGCCATATCGTGACTAAGAAAGTTGTAAATTTATAAATGAATAAAAATATAGTTAGATATTATACTTACCTGTTTGCAAAGGTCAGTAAAACAACTAGATTACCACAGAAAAAAACTTAAAACTAGCAATCTACAACATCCTAACTACAAATGACAATACAATATAAAATCAGGCTATATATTGGCAACAACTGAAGGTTCAAACTAGCAATCTAAAACATCCTAACTATAAATGACAATACAATATAAAAACAGGCTACATATTGCCAACAACTGAAGGTTCAAACTAGCAATCTAAAACATCCTAACTATAAATGACAATACAATATAAAAACAGGCTATATATTGCCAACAACTGAAGGTAGATCACCACACTAGGGACCATGGGGAATTACAGTACATTTGCGTCCTGTGTGGACCCTAGCTGGATTTACACAGATTAATTTCAACACACAGTCATGATATTTAACTAATGGCGATGGCGGTGGGACAATCCGCCCTTCTCTTGCTCCAGTTTCCTGTTGAAGCCCAAGCCATATGATAATCGGGATCAAATGTAATCTTTGTAGACTTTCAGCTTCCCCTCATTGCGAATGGTGTCAGATGAATCATGTTCCACGTGATCATGTTTCCCTGTTATATATCACTGTGCTCGAAAAGACCTGTTCTCTCATATGACTATGATCAGGCTGTTATGGCTGGTAGACAACGTGATTTGAGAATTCTAACATAAAGGAACTTAGTCATATGATTCTTTTTGCGCGGTGGCCTGGTGTAATATATACTTACTCTGGATTAGTGAAATCAGTTTCTCATAATATTTACATTTCTATCTGTGTTTCTATTTCAACTCATTTTCGGAATAAAATCCGAATGTAACTGAAGCAGATGCGGTGCCCAATTTCTTTGGAGCTTGCGTTTCTTAGTGTTCTAATACATTGAGTTCTGGCTGAAAGGGGATTTTCCTTGTTGAAGTAACTGACCTGCTTCATAAACCTTGTGTGCACCATGGCTGGTAGTTAAACCATTATTGGTAACTGTTGGAGGTACCATTGTAGGTTGGAAAGTAGTAAGTGAGTGAGTTTTGTTTTAGGCCGCATATTCCAGCTATATGGCGGCGGTCTGTAAATTATCGTGTATGAACCAGACAATCCAGAGATCAACAGCATGAGCATTGATCTACGCAATTGGGATGCGATGACATGTGTCCACCAAGTCAACGAACCTCACCACCAGATCCCGTTAGTCGCCTCTTACGACAAGCATGAGTTGCTCAAGGCCAATTCTAATCCGGATCTTCACGGGTTTTATATATTATTTATAGAAACTATTATGAACATATTTCTCATGACCATTTTCTTTGTATTCAAGCATTTCCACTTCTTAAAATATGATGTTCTTCACTCTTGCTCACTTAGTCAGCGCGGGGCATGGGGGAGCCTAGTGGTTAAAACGTTCGCTCGTCATGCCGAAGTACTGGCTTCGACTCTTCACATGGGTACAATGTGTGAAGCCAATTTCTGGTGTCCCCCGCCGTGATGTTGCAGGAATATTGCTAAAAGCGGCGTAAAAACATACTCATTCAGTCAGTCGGCTCAGCAATGAAATATCATTACTTAAACACTCTGGTGACGATGTAACAGTTATGATCACTTGATACCAAGGTTCAGTTTTGTATGTGCTTTTACTGATCTCTTAATAGCAATCAGTTATAACTTCAAACAACTCAAGCTGACATTGCATTTTCATTCATTTATTTTGAATTTGGGAATGATAATATTATTATTATGTTTTACAGATTAAAAATAGTGTGCAGCATAGAGGGTTCGGGCTATCACAGTCAGGCTGGTAAGGTTGTTCATCAGCTGAGGACCCTTTGCCCATATACATGCAATATGAAGACTTTCCCACACTGCAGCCGTATGCATTACCCAGAGTACCAGAAGGGCTATGCTCCCGTTGGAGAACCCGGGCATTCTCATAATCTGAGTTCAGAAGGTACCAAACCAAGGGCACCGAGAACAATGACATGTCAAAGACAAAGTCCGCATATTTAGAATGCTTTTCCTTAATCTTGCCAATCACGTTGTTGTCAAAAGGGACAGAAAATTCAATGACATAAACATATTCATTGGTTTTATCAAAAAGGACAAGATCGGGTTTGTTGGCAGGAATTCTTCTGAGGCTGTATATAGGCCTATTACAAAGAAGTTTAAAGCTGTCATTTTCCATGACGCCCTGGACATGTTGGAGCCCTTGGAGTCAAAGCCACAGGCATGGCGAAGACGATAGTAGAAGCAACGATCCATGCCATCATGTCTTTTATTATTATTAGCATTATCATATTTATTAGTTAAGGGTTAATGGTATCATCTGTTGTTGAAAGGACGACGTGAGGTGATACCCATGTGAATGGTGCATCGTAAAATCATAAAAAACTATGTTATGCTTAGGATTTAGCTGTTGGAACATATCCCTCTACTTGGCACTGTCATACGCCCATGTCATATTCCTATTTTACTGTATTTTCCTGACCTCTTGTTGTGTCATCTATATCTTCCAGTGTCTTCATAATTCTTCCTCTCAGATGAGTGAGTGAGTTCAATTTTACGCCGCACTCAACAATAATCCAGCTATATGGCGGCGGTCTGTAAATAATCGAGTCTGGACCAGACAATCCAGTGATCAATAGCATGAGCATCGATCTGCGCAATTGGGATCCGATCATTTCATAACGTTATGTCACAACGTAATAACAACGTTGCACATTTACGTTAAGGAAACGTTATACTTTGGGCTCCTCACGACGTTATAATAACATTTTCTTTTAATTTGGTGTCACAATATTTTC